TCCCGATTTCACACAAAGCCTGCACCAACGCACACTTTACTTTGCAGAGAGCAGAGCTGTAGTTGTAATCAAAATTCTACACATTAAACGTTTTCTTCCAGTTCCAGTTTTTTTGTCCTCTGGTGTTGCGTCCAGCCCTCCCCTTAACCCCGAGTGCATCTTTAAAAAAATCAATAATCTCCCCCCATTCCTGAGTCCTGTACTTCGCAGTGCTCAGAACGCGCACAGGTTCATTGACCGGTCACAATGGCAAGCCCGACAAGACGCTTGTATAACTTTCTTTTTTTTTTGTTGTTGTTGTTGTTGCCCCCACAAGTGACAACACAGTGACAAATGTTGATTTATTTTCAAGGCAACACCACGTCTGTAACGCCGATCCTGCATAAACGTTGCGTTATCAGACAATTACTGACAAATTTCTGGGTGGTAACGAAAGCGAAAGTAGATCTTGATTTTCCAGTCAAGCCGTAGTGACACAATTCCGCTTGCCTCCAGTTCGCGTGAAACGTACTCTCAGAGACGAATTAATATCACAATCGCGACCGGCAGAAATGAACTTAAAGACGTTATTGGATTTGGTTTTCAAATATTCGAGATCTTTTATGCCCGGGTCTCGGCTTTTTTTTTTAATTCCCGGGGCCTGGCAGTCACCCTGATCCCAACAACTCTCTGATTGGCCCGTTGTCGCGGTAGCGGAGGAAAAGGAGGTAGCGGAAATCCGCTAAATAGCGGACTATTGAGACCCATGCTAAAGGCTGGCAAAATTTCGTTTCTCTACCATGATTCCTTCATACCCAGATCAAAGATTTATAATGGAACCCCCTCGTACAGTGTTCTGTCACTGACTAGACTTGCATCAACACCAAAGTGCGTCCAGCTTTCCCCCTCTCTCCCCAGTACACATGGACACAAAATGTGTACACAATCACAACTTAGAGTTAGACCTACTGTAGGTCGTGTAGGTGCCATTAGCCATTGGTGTTGGCTGTTGATGGTTCGACCACTATTATTACTGTTATATTATAACTTATTGTAAAAGCCGAGCATGCCTGTTGTAAAAGAACTTTTTAAATTATAAACAGTACAATAATACATTGTGAAATTGGACTCTGGGATTTATTAAGAGCCTGCAATAGCCGAAATCCTGTTATAACGGAGACATTTACGCATGGGACCCTCTGTTGTAAGGGTTTTTAGTTTAATAACAGAAATCGTCTGAGCGAGAGACGACAATCAGTCCATGTATTGTCTGTATAAAGGGCTGGGGTTTTTTTTGTGTGTGTGTGCGTAATCTGCCTCCACTCTTCCTTTTCCTTTTGACACTGCGGGTGGTTGAAGGACTCCAGTGGTTTTTCTTTCCCCCTGTTGTTTCTATGCTGTCTAATCTGTCTTGCTTCTTTCCTGTTATTTATAACTTATAATTATAAGGTTATTGTGTGATGTGTTTCTCTTCACTACCCAAACCTTTGTTGGTGTTGACACAGATCTTGACGATCGGAGTCAGAACTGGTTTTCTCTGCCTGCAACAAATTTTGAATTACAATGATTAATTGTAATTTTGTAATTTAGTCAGCAGAAACTTGAGACTGAATACAAACTCACTCTGCATTGGTGAGAGTTGATGAGTAATAATAATACATCTCATTATTGCCAGAATCTACCAAGGGTGATGCTGATAAAGAGCAAAATGCCTTTATTGGAGTATAAAGATCTAATAGTAATAGTTAAGTGCAGAATTGCAAATCCAAATTTTATCTGAACCAACTACCGGTACTTCAAAACAGTCAAATATGACTTGGATCTGAAGGGTAATGCGCTTTCTATAATTTTTTAGTAATTGCCATATTTCGAAATCATGATGAGAACGATAACTTAAAAAACGAGATAACATTTTTATAAAATTTAGTAAATTTAAAGTCTTCCAGCTGCAGATGAGATGTCAAGCTACAGCAAAGACCTGTAATACCGATGTAGGCCTACTCCGATACATTGCAGAAAAGAAAAAAACGGAGGGAAGATGGGCTCCATTTCAAATATCAGAAACAGTAATGGCAATTAGTCTCCTTGCACTTGCCTCTGCCTGTTTAATGCTTTAGATCATCGGCTTACAATGACATGTATTTGAAGACAGGTTGTGCATGTTCTTTTGCCTAAACTCAGGGGACCTTGGTTTTATTTTTATTGTTGTTAGTTGTCTGCCAACCGCCCGGTCATTTTGGGATAATTTCAAAAACACATGTGTCACGACGAGGTGGAACCAGGCGCTTGTCAATTTTTAGGCATGTGGAGTTATTGTATCATCTGAAAGCTGATTTATTTATTTGTCTTACTACCAATGAAACATCCGCGATTGAAGGAAGTGAAGTCGACTGGTTTCAGTGGTGAAATTAGCAAGAAAAAGGCTGCCAAAATTTGGTAACTCCAATAGCTAAAAAGTCATAGAAAACAAAAAAAATGACATTCTTTGGCCTTTTACTTTTATCAATGTTTTTCAGTAAAATTAACATGGAAATGTGTTTTTATATGGACATAAAAGATGTTGAACCAAAAAATCAATTCGATAAAAATTTCCAAACTCGTGGAAAAATGCGTTTCTCTGATTTCTGTATTTTGACGAGCGCCTGATTCCGCCATGCTGCCTCAACAAAGTACAGTAATATAAATGAGAGACTATTCAGTTCTCTCTCTCTCTTTCTTCTGGCGCTGTGGCTTCATAACGGTCAGCGATGATGCCGACAGCACGCAGGAACTCAACACTTGCCCGGGGGTCCTTAAAAAGTGCTGAATGTGGGTTACTGAAATGTCCCAGCAGACTATACAGAGTAGGCACAGTGTAGTGTATTTAGAATTAAATTTCTCTGCAGATTGCAAGTGCAAACTTGCATGATGTTGCACTGAGTGACAGTAACAAACACAAAAAAGAGGGCAGATAAGGACAATAGATGTTTGATAGGGGCCCTGTTAATACTTTGTGGTCACTTGGCACAATAATGAGCCGGTGAAAATGATCCGTTCTGCGCCAGGCCCGAGAAGTCCGTTGCAGTCACTCTCCTGGCTGGGTGACCAGATGGGGTATTTTGTACTGCTGACTGTGTGACTGCAAAGTGCTTAACTGCCAGACCTTTATTTTGCCCATTTCATGCTCATCCCAAGGGTGGTGGTATAAAGAGGTTTGACTATTTGTTCGCAGAGGATGCACACATCACACTGTAGTAGTCTTGCCAAGATGTACTATAATTTATTACAATATGTAAAAGAAGGCTGAAGTTAAGCATTTACATGAACATCATGCCTTACTAGCCTACTTACACCCACAAAGGTGTCAAATCTGGTTTGATTCTGCCTGTCAGGGCTAATCCAGATTGAAAGAGATACAACAATGTCTCAGATACTTGATAAAAATTCTACCCACACAAGTGCTTATGCTGAGCCACCGACTCGTTACGTAGCAGGTATGTTTGATGAAGGCTGCAGTTATGTATGCATGCATTTCGAATGAATGTCTTTCAAGATGAAGGCAAAACAAAAATTCTATAATCTTATGCTCCGGAGTTTTCCTAAGTGCTGATCCAGAGAGTTGATATTGAACTCCAAAAACTACAATTTCAATTTCCAAAGGCAGGAAACAGTTATTTCTTTGAATTTGAATCACACTGAAATCAGGTGTTAATTGATCATTATTACATGAGCACCTCAATATGTCTTGGTCTATTCACTTCGGGCAAATCAGACTTAACATTCACACATACGAAATGCCAGTTAAATTTCAAACTTAATTGAAACTTGTAAAGCTAAAACGGTTATCCACCGTTAACTCCTACTCCTCGTTAACCATAAATTAGTTCTTGGTTGAATCCAATCATTTTGAGATTTATAGGCTGAAATTTGCACTTGATAAATAAAAAAATCGAAGTTAAACAGAACCAGATATAATTACAGTGGAATCCTGTTATAACGAGAGGGAGGGGACCAAAGCAAAATGTCCGTTATAGCAGGATTCTCGCTATAAGGGATCCAGTAATAAATTCAAGGAAACTGTAAAGTAAGCCTAATCTATGAGTTTGGTGTTCTGTTTTTCCTTTTGCTATCTCCCCTGATGATGATTTTGTTTCAACATGACTTCTAGATCTTACTTGATCAAAAATCGAATCAGGTTTGTTTCTCTAGCGCTAGATCGAGCGATGTGGACTGACAGCTCGGCGTTGGCGATCAGAAAGAAAGGGCTCTGGATTAACTCGCCCGCTGTGTTTCCCCCTACCCCACCCCACCCTGTGGTGCATTCTGTCTGCTTACGCACGTCACACATTCGCTCCATTCATCACATTGCTGTGACCTCTCCATCTCCGCATCGGAGAAGTGAGAGGCATGGCAGGCCTTGATAATCTAAACTGGCCTATCACGCAATGCGTTCTGCTTGTCTGCGCATGCCACACCCTCCCTACTCAGTTGCTCCGGCCTTCATTGTTGACGCACATGGGCTCTCCTATTCTTTGTTTCGAAAGATCAGCAACAAGTTTCTCAACTGGCGAGGTCTTGCATTATGTATAATTGGCCTATGCCATGTGCACAGCAGCAGCAATATTCCGCTATAACCGACTCACAAGTGTGTCTGATAGTGCTATAGCAGTATTTTGTTTACAAAGGTAAAGAGGAGAAAAAAACGGGGTTTTAGAATAGTGCCTTTATAACAGACTTCTCGTTTTTCCCGGACTTGTTATAAGTGGACTCCACTGTATAAGCATTCAATGCAGCAAAAGTCAATAGTCAATCAGAATTCTTGAAATCATCTAAATTAAAAGGATCAACTTTATCTTTCATAATTTGTACAGGCACATAAGTTTCCTCCTTATTCCACAATGATGCAAAGTCTATTATTCGATTACAGACAAGAACACGGTCCCAACATTGACTTCATCTTCAGTAGATGGCATGGCATTTTTATAATTAAAATTTACTCAAGTAAAAACACTAAAAAAACTATGCATTTGACAAACACATGGTTTTCTTGGACTATGCCAGTATTTATTGATACATTGTACTTTGAAATCTATAAGTAATGGCATGTTTCCACAAATGTGAACTTCAAAGAACAAATCCAAGTGTAAAATGCATAATAATTGCGGCAAAAAAAGCAGTTTAAATCAGATAAAAACCAGTTCTTTATGCCAGACCCAAATTGTTTTCATCCACACAAAAAATAAAACAAGCCTTTATGGCAGTTGTGCATTGTTGCTGTAGTTTATGCTACAAAATATTGTGGAAAGTATAACTGGAAAAAAAAAAGATATCTGCTCTGATCAATAATTTCAATTCTTTGGAAAATATGAAACTTTTTCAAGAAAATCGATGAAGTACAGCAGGAGGAAAATCCAACAGTTCAAGTATAACATTAATAGGAATAACAATAAATAAGTGGAGCGTTTTTTTTTTTTTTGTCTGTGTATGACGTAGCATCGTAAAATGAAGATATGTTTAAGAACTGGCAAGACATGCCACAGTATAGGGCTGGGAATATCATCTACATAAGTTGGTAGTAATTTTAACACTTAAAAATCTGTGGAAAATATATATCTTGTGTAGGAAGGTTTTGGTTTTTCTTCATCTTGGTAAAAAAAAAAAAGAAGCACAAATAGTTTGTTAAGTTTATGACAGGGAATGTGGAGACAAGGCAAGGAATAGACTCACGACTCTCATTCTACATGGTACCTTAATACATGGCAGATGAATAAGTGGAAAATAAAAAGAGACTAACTACAAGGTAGTCCATCACCCAAGTAAATGACACAATGGTAGATTGCATACACCAAGGACAGTACACTATGGTAGCTTACTACATGGAGCAACAACTGGATAGCTCTGCAAGGCTGTCGTCGCTCATGACAGAAACATTGTAAAACCCACACCAATCTCCTGCTATGTGGACACGTTTCAATCAATAGGCTCAGGCACTCCACACACGATTAAAAAAACAAACTAGTTACAGATGAGCAAAAAGGTGCCACAACAAAATTCTCCCACAAGATAACAAATGGTACTCACAAACAAACAAACCACAACGAGTTCTTCACAGTACGCAGGTGCTCTCCCAAATAATTTTTTCTTCAACATTTCCCCCAATCTCAATAAACCATTTATTGTGCAGTGGTCATGATCATCTGCTAGTAAGGCGGGCCGAAAGCGGCAGCACCGTGGTACGGTATGGGTGCGGAACCGGCCGCAGGGTGGGGGTAGCCCGGGGGATAGGCTGCCATAGTACCGACAGGGTAAGATCTGGCCGTAGCCTGGGCTGGGATAGCACCTGGCACTGTGGAGTAGCCCGCGATGAGAGGGGCGCCCGCCTGGAGCGGAGGGCCTCCGTACGGGGATGGGGGCATACTTCGGGGCCCCAGGGCTGTCTGGGCGTAGGTGACGCCCGCCGGGTACTGTCCTGCCGAGATGTAGGCAGGGGAAGAAGTGGGGATACCTGGCATGCTGGAGTAGGCTGCAAGGGATGGGTAGGAGGGGGACACACTGCTGTAGCCTGTCAGGCCGGCGTTGGAGACTACTGCGTAGGCTTGAGGAGAGGCTGCGTAGCGGGTGGTCAGCCCTGGGGGAGGCATGGCTGCCTGCGGGTAGGCTGTGGGGCTCTGGGCATAAGGGCTTTGGGCAGGGACGTAGATCCCCGGTTTCTCCGCACCTTGGCCGCCATTGGCTGGCAGGCCTGGGTAGTACATCTGGGAAGCTGGAAGAGATGAGTTCGTCCTGTGCAGACAAAAAAAACAACAACATACTACTAAGAAATCAATAGAGACCATGATATCACAACCTTTAAACAAACAAAAAACTGACACTCTTCTCTATTCATATTATGTGAAAGCGATGACAATTTTAGCTTTATCCACACTGCTAAACTACCTCCGAACATAGCACTTCTAAAATACTGTAAACTACCTCCGAACATAACACTTCTAAAATACTGTAAATTACCTCCTAACATAGCACTTCTACCATGATCTTTTGCACAAAATACAGTTGAACCTGCTCTAATGGTGATATGCCAAAGACAATCACATGTATAAACGACCATTTCCCTACTTGCACTTTTTATGTATAAATATACAATGTCGTTATCTCAGACGATGTCCTTCTGTCTAAGACAACTAATGACCATGGCAATGGGAAACCATCTTGAACAGTTTCCACCGGGGTTACGGTACAAAACTACAAAGCATGTTTATTACGAGTGCTCGAAAATGTATCAGGAAAATAACAATATAAAAAGTTAGGTTACCCTTAGAATCATAACATAAACACATAGCAGTAACTCTCAAAGTTTCAAGCTTTATCTCAAGACAGGAGATGTATAGACACTATACTCTATGAGGAAGGACTTCCGTAACGAGCAACCACCTGAACAAATACAATAAAGAAGAGACCCTAACCCTACCCTTATCCCTACCCCACCCCCACCCTAACCCGATCCCTACCCCTTCCCCACACCGGTCTTCCACCCCCCCCCCCCAGATTTTTAAAAATCAGGGCTGTCTGTCAAGGTGGTCCTTAACTTATGTTAAGGTCTGTAAAAGATTTGTAGATGTCAAAACGTTCCAATATAATATATGGTACCAGAAACTAAATTTTCAAAGTAGATGTATGCCAAATTTATCTGTTCCATTGGAAAGGCCTATATCCAGTGAGCATTTTGGTACCATTCTTTAACCTGTCAGTCAATTTTTAAGAAAATGGTAGTTGTTTAAAATTTGATCAAATTTGTTAAAGTCAGTCACTGGCTGTAACCCCATGTTTGACAGATAAAAGAGTACCAAGTGCACTAAACATCTCCACATTAACAGAGTACAATCACTATAACAAATATATGGAGCGTAATTTTTTTCAAGACTGAGATCATTACAAATCAGTATTTCAGAGATGCCAACCACAGAAAACCGAAATGAGTATTGGGAAATATGAAAATGTGTATTCCCCACGACCGACCAACTAGTAATAGTAAAATTTTCAGGGTGTCCAGCAATATTTCCTGAAAAAAAATTACTAGCTCACCAGCTCGAAAAAGGGAGCACACACGCGTACAATTATATATACATGTATCCAGTCAACAAACATGTCAGTGTTAAGTGTCGCACTGGGGTCTGGTTTGACTTCAGTATTTCAGTCTACATGTATTATATACCGGTAACATTTTCCTCTCATTATTATATAAAAATAAATCCTGCTTTGAGAGTTTGGAAGGGCCTTGAACAAGAAATTCGACTATCAAGAACCAGTCTGGGTGTCATGATTCATAATATGAACTGACAGACTCAAATTATTGCTCAAACTCAGAGAAAAGCAATAACGTGAATGGCTCAAGTAGACCCATGCACTGTGACAGTTGTAACAACTGTGGTAGGACAAAATGCAGTGACACTGAAAATCTGCCAGTCTTGAACAGAAAGCTACAACATACACTGTAGGTATAATTTACTATCACTCATCCAATGAAACGCGAACACTTTATTTCAATAACACAGACTTGCAAAGTATGAAGGGTGCCGATTCCGCACACGGCCTGCACCAACGCGCGCTTTGCAGAAAGCTCTTATCAAAATTGTGAAAAGTGCTTTAAGTTTTAGTTTTTTGTTGTTTTTTTTAAATCTCCCCTATTCCGCAGTCCTATACTTCGCAACGCCCAACTCCCATCAAAGACGGTCTTTACTCACACAAAGCCGCATTTATTTATGATGCGAATGTGCGCAGGTTCAGTGACCGGTCACAATGGCGAGCCGGATAATCTAAAAATCGGACGACGCTAGTATTTTCTTTTCTTTTTTTTCCACAAGTGACAGCACAGAGACGAGTCCGAGCATTGATTAAATTTTATTTGCACGGCGACATTGCGTTTATAGTATACTGCACAACCTGCATGTCACAAATGTTGCGTTATTAGACAACTGCTGGCAAACTTCTCGGCGGTAGCGACAGCTTAAGGAGATCTTGATTTTCCCGATCGAGCCTCGGTGTCACAAACGCTTCCGCCTGCCGCCATAGCTGCCAATTCGCGTGAAAGTGAAATGTACTCTCCGGACGGGGAAAAGCTGAACGAATATAATATCACAATCGCGACCGGCAAAAATGAACTTACAGACCACACCGGACTTGGTTTTCAAATATTCCAGTTCTGCGATACTGATACTACTATTTTGACAAAAGATGGGACTTCAGATAATCAGGTTTACTTGCCCAAGCTGAATCTTGTATTTTTCGCATTCCAGGATGCGTATTTTTTCATGAAAAGTCACATTCGCGTATTTTCGGAAAAAAATCATACTAAAAAAAGGTAAAATAGTACTGGTTGGCATCTCTGGTATTTTATCGCCTCAAACACATTGATCTGTCGTTATTTCTACAAAAACACCGAGCGATGACCCGGCTGGCGCCGCATCCGCTCCGAGCGAGTCGGCTCTATACTGTAGTGTACCCCACGTGGGGGGGGGGGGTCACATGCTTTCCGAGTCTCGTGGAAGGATTGATGCAAAATAATTCCAAGCTTATTACTTTATTTTAATAGGACTGATCTTTTAATTGATACCCTTTTTAGCCGGTATTTTACATATTTCGAGTAAAAAATTATCTTTGAAAATTTGGACGGTATTTTTAAAGGCTTTCTATTTAAACGCCAAAGGCCAAAAATATACCACGGAAAAGCCACGTTTAAAGCTCTACAGTTCTCCGCCAATGAAAAGACTTTCATCGGCGATTCTCCAGCTCCTAATAATTGGACATATAAACAACTTACACCATTGTAACGAGGAAAAGCTGAACTTTTACAAGGTGTACGGCATTTGGTGTTTGATAGCGAAAGAGCAAAGAAACAGCGATCAGAATTACCCCGATTTCACCGATACCACGCATTCGGAAGGTCGCTAGTGCCCCCGTTTATACTACCTAATAATATCTAAGCACCCATATGTTTCACATAAATCACGAAATAGAACTCACTTCATTGTCTGAAAAGTGTGCACAGCAATGACAAATTACTAAAAAGTAAAAGACTTAATTGGTAATATGATTGATCAGTTCCACTCCACACATTCATCTAACCTGTATGACATAAAGAACTGCCTTCCAATGTTATAGATGTTGAAACTTCTCTTGACTATCCAAAGCCAGCTTAACTTTTAAGATTTCACTCCTAGAAAAAAGCACAAAAAGCTGACAATAAACTCATGAATTTTACAAAGAGCAATACTTAAAGTAGTACAATCCCGCCTTGTCACTTCAATGTATTTGGCCTCTTACAACAAACATTGAACACATCATGCTTGAATCATTGCCAGTTTAACTCTTTATAAACAACTGTGACTGAACTAACTCACAGCTTTAAACATGTGAGTGACAGGTCACACTATCACACTGTTTGCTGAACACATTTTCAGGTTGACCCATTAACTCTCCACAAGTATTCTCTCTGTGCAATTTAAAAAATAACCCCCCCCCCCCCCCCTGACTATTCCAGTCTTCATCACTGATGGGACTTGACTTCATTAACATGTTAAAGTTCCACAATTCTCGATATAACTCAATTTCCAGCTTTGCGCATTAATATTTTTAGCTTTAATTCAGGAAGGACAAAAACTAGAACTTGACAACTACATTATTACTGGTATTGGGGAAAAAGTAAGCAAGATGGAACTTATGAAATGTTAATCAGATACTGAAGAGAAGTGCAACTCTATATCAGCCCTGTGATCAGAACAACAATCTAACTTGCCATAATGGAATCCTGTCCAAGACAGTGATCTGTCCTGACGGAATCTCTTTGCTCCCCCTTTGACAAATTCTTCTATATTACATAAGTCTGAGACGGAAATCTTTACAACCTGGAAACAGACTAAGAAATTCTTTCCCTTTGACAACAGATGGAAAATGCTTCAACCGCTCAACTCTGATTTGAAACAATACTCCCAACCATTGGCTCTTATCTTTACAGCACGCCACTATGCCAGGAAGGGGGAAAGGGGTGCAGTTTGAGGGTACGGGCCTACCTTCTACCCCACCCATGTGAATTGGCACGCTGGTATGGAAACTCTGCTGGGTAGTCAGAGGAGTGAAATTTCACTACATGTACGGCTTGCCACCCTGATCTTACAACCAGCTGAGAAAAAAGTTTCCCAAATCCTTGTTACATGCAAGGGAGGGGTAGCACTGGTAGATTGTGCTTATTATGTCAATGGTAGGGGCTATAAGTATAAGGGTGGAAACAAAGGACATGACCAATCATTTCTGTTTTTAATTGGTCAACCAGTGGTCCTAACAAGATGCAAGTACAGGTGGCAAGGGATTAGTAAAGACTAACATGTGCCATTACCAGAGCAACTTGGACAGCATTTGAGAAGTGTGAAAAATTTATCAATGCTTCTGAACGGAAAGACAACCCTTGACCCTACTCTAAACAAATGGCCCTCAAGACTCCCCACATATCCTCTTACCAAGACAGAAAATGTGTAATCACAGCATATTTTTCTGCCCTTATGATTTCATCTTGGACAGATCGGAATGTATTCAACAGAAAATTACACTTACGTGAAGGTACTTGAAGCTGGCGCTGTCCACTCAAGTCAATCTGTAAGGGAATAAAAAATGCATGCCCGTTATGACAAAAAATAGACATTAAAAACACCAATTAGATTTCTAGGGTGAATTTTCATCAAATACAAACATAAATAACACGGCAATCCCCTGAATTTTTATCTTGTTCTTAATGTAATGATCAAGAAGTGAGACACTGGAGTAAAAGCTGAAGTAACTTTAAAAAAATATCTATATCTTTAAAATCGAAATCCGAACTACTGACAACAAATAAGCTCAAGTTACTAGTAATAATGTTACTGTTACATGCAGTATAAAGTAAGATCTAATAGTCACAGTATGCTGAGAAAAAGACATGCATAAATTGAGGTAGTAAAGAAGTAGGACTAACTAAAAGTCCTCTTTATGACCCACATTTTCTCAGAAAATCGGTTCGATAACGTGAGAAATATTAAAGTTATGTCAATTAACTCTTTATCTCCGAGGGGGGTAAACCCACTACACCGTGGCCCTTTTTGGTGCTAAATCTGAAAATGACAAAAACGTCATTAAATGGGTCAATAAATCCAAACTAGTAAACCTATTTTGATAGTTCTTCATATAATGAATGAAATGAACTTCAGGTATAAGAGACCTGTTTTCGGTACATGCCGAAAAGTAATTAGATGCAGAAGTAGCCTTAAAGGAATCTGCCCGAGCCCCTGTCAGCGGCTAAAACGGCACAGGGGTTCAGACCGCGAGCCGCAGGGAGCGGCTTGCCCGAGATAAGAGTTAAATGATCAAGCTGATTCAATAGATTCAGGGCATACAACTTATGCATGTTCTATGCCCAAACATTGGAGATTCCAATGAGAATGCAGCAAGCATACCCCGTTGACACTGCTGAAACTGAAACTGCAAACTGAAACATATAAGTATACTTACTCCAATATTCTTATCCCCATTCCTACCTACTGTACTGACAACTGACTTGGAAACAAACCTTATTTTTATTCCCTCACATAGTCAAAGGTATCTACCGTATTTACAACATACAAAATACCCTGACGACAGAATATACATCTATTATCTATTTGTGGTGGCCGAATTTTGCTATTCAAAAGGCTTTTTAATGGCTGCATCCACCGACATGCAGTTTTCGCCAAAAAATTCTTTAAAATATTCTCCAGATCATGGCGCCCTTAGTTTTTTCAGTTTTGAGACAGTTTTGCTGCAAAAAGCTAAATTTCTTTATTTCGCTGATCGCTTTTGTAGGCCGACGTTTCTATCTCTGTAATTTTAGAAAATCCGGAAGTGATATTTCGCGAGGCGCAATTTTGTTTAGAGAGTATGGATCTAGACCTAATTTTTTTGCATCTCTCTAGAATTATTTCCCCATTCCAGTAGAGTGTAAATATAGCAGGCCAATGACTTTTAGCTTATATTAAAGCACCGATCATCCCTTTCATCGAAAGGGGGCCCACCTAGTAATATATATATTCATTCCCAGCCCAAGCCCTGACCACACCAGTGCTACAGCAGACACAACACGGACTATGATGTCTCCATTAACTCTAGAGAAAACAAGACCATTAGGCGATATGATGACAGTTGGTCAAAAAAGAAAAAAAATAGGAGGAAGACTGTCAACACAGAGTACACTCTTCAAGCTGTCGCAGATTTTTACGGAGGGAGTCGATAATGATGGAGGAACAAGTACGGAACTGGCAGAAAGTACGGATTTCCGTAAAAATACGGAAGAGAGGAAGCACTGTATATGAGAACAAAATTCAAATATAGCTAGGATGTTTTTTCATCTTGACCAGAAATCCGCTGGGGAACTTTCATCTATGCTGATTTGCAGAAGATAGAAATCCATCTTGAAATGGAAGAATTTCACCTACAAAGTAGTCTTCATCTCCAATAATGGAGCTTGGGAGTCGAGAAAAGACAGGTAAAATTTCTTAGCTGGGTTGAGTAAGAGTTACGTCATTGAATTAGAATAAAATAAAAAAGGGATCCAGTGAGATATGCACTGCATAGTCATCAATGAGAGATCTGACACAAAAAGTTAATAGTTCTGAACATGCTAAAATCATCCAATCCTGGACTTTCAAACCACCTGGATACTGGATACCACCCTCCACCCCCCCACCCCCCCCCCCCTCCCCGGCGATAAACGCAAAAGGAAGGTTTAGGAGCGTACCCAAATTTGCAAAATAAAAGAGAAATCTTTTTTAAAATGAGACTTTTGTGTGGTAGGAATTCTGTTTTAAACAGAAAAGTGAAATAAAAGAGAAGTGATCTAAAGCAAAGTAGGATGAGACACTCAGACCATTGTACAACTTTTTATAAAAATAAATCAAAATTTAAACTCCTTTGTAAACTCTGCTCACCACACACCATACTTACCTAACTTCAGTAACACAAATTTCAGACCAACAAGGGAAGGTGAACATTCTGTGGAGAAGAAAAAATGCATTGATAAAAGGACCCTTGATTAAAAACAATTCCTTTCTTTCAATATCTTGCAAATCTTTTAAAAATGCATTTCATTCATTGTATGTAGACCATCATGAGACATTGCATATTAATGACAACAGAACAGTATTACATATAAATGGTAAACGTAAAAACCAAATACTAAAAGACAAAAAGCAAGAGAGACTTTTTAACCAAAAACCCAAGTAACCAAACAGAACTAATACCGCCTACTATCTTCTCACATCGCCATCAAAAAATCACTTTACTTCCATAAAAGTAAAAGCCTCAATCCCCAACTCATTTCACTCACTTTCTCTCTTCACAATTGCAAGCACCTTCTTATTCCTGCTTTGAACTTCACTGCCCCCCCCCCCCTACGTCTTTTCTCTCACACACTCATCTTCTCAGTCTCCTTCCAAACCCAAACCACCTTCTTTGTACTATGTTTATGGTGTTTTCCCAACCTGGAAAGCTGAAAATGAAATTCCTGGCTTTTCTTGTTTGAGTGGGAACCCTGTAGCATAAATTTTTAATAAAAAGTTAATCAAAGGCATGTTTGTCTTTTTTTTCTTCAGGCCCCAGTTGGTTCATGAAGTGTTTGGTAGCCAAACTTATCTGTTCCATATGAAAGGCCTGTATCTCCTGAGAATTTTGTGATCATTCTTTAACCTCTCAGTCAATTTTCAGAAAATGGTTGCTGTTTAGATATGACCAAATATTGCTAAAGTCGCTAACTGGCTACAACCCCATGTTCGACAGATATAATAAAAGAGTACCAAGTGCACCAAACATCCCCGCATTAACCAAGTGCAATCCCTATAACATAGATAGATATGGAGCCTTGATCTTTCCCTGTTGACCATTTGTTTAGGTTCCCTAAGTAGGTTGCTCATGGGATTTCTTTTCCTTCCCCGATACTCTTAGCAGTCTCCTATGAAACCTCATTGCTGTTGCATCTAAGTTATTTTCACTTGTCTTTAGTGATTGTCCAGCATTCACAGCCATAAGGGTTGACCATACATGGCATTTCAGAACTTTCATTTTGGTAGTCATTGAGATGATTAGATTTTTCAGGATTGGGCCCATTTTATTGAAAGTAGCCTTAGCCATTGTAATTCTCTGTTTTATTTCTGAGGAACATTTGACATCAGATGTTATGATATATCCTAGATATTTAAACTGTTGGACTTGTTTGATTTTTTCGCCTTCGCTAATGAGATTACAACTAGGACTTGCTGCTTTTTTTGGATATTACCATGCATTCTGCTTTCTTTACATTCAACACTAATCCTTTATGTTCACTTTCTGTTACAACAGTATCAAGACACAGCGCCGAAAACTGGCCAAAATCAAGCCTCTTAGTTTCCCAGCCCAGCGACATCTGGAAGTAATTAAATCACCATCGGAACCGCTCCGTGCCGGGTTATGCGGGGGTCACTGGCCTCTCCGTTGTGCATCAGCTACAGGTCACGGTGTAATCGAAAACTTTTGACACTAATTATAGGCACCATCCTCACTCTAACCTCGAATTATTCCATACAAAAAGAAAAAAGCAAGATTCCCCCTCTCAGTCTGCAAAAACCCGATCTCAATGCGATATTTGCCGATGTTACAGTGTGTGTAAAATGTTTTGAATTTCATCAAACTTAATCTGTGTGTGCTACACTTAATTCACTTTTAATTTCCAAAGTTGACAAGTTTTAATACATGCACCACTAGTGACACATATTTGTTTTTTATGTGTATAAATTTCATCACAGTCCGATGAACAGTTGTTGCGATATTTAGTCACTTCCATCTGATTCTCATCCAGTGATTTGTTATTTGCCTGTGCAACTGCGTATTCTGGATTCTAAGCAGTTTTAAGTTCAACAGTTCTCCGCTAACTTCAAAGATTGTTGTTTCTATGAAAGGCAGCCATATTTGTGCTTCATATGTATTATTTCATCTTTGTTGATTGAAACCTATTACGGAGTTAGAATCCATCTGTCCCTGATTTATTTCTGACAAGTATATTGAAATCTCCCAATGGAACACACTATCGAAAGACATACCTCATCCCTGAATGAACTTTGTCGCGTTTGCGGGTTTAAGAACGTGAGTGAAGTACAAAAGCAGCTGAAAAGAAAGGCTAATACAAGTGAGTCACTGCAAAGTGACATTTTGTTAATTTATGATATAGTGACATTAGAGAAGACATAGACGACAAATATTCGAGGTATATTTGCCACAAATGCCACCCAAAGACCTATGACACTGAGAAGAACACCACCCCATCTGCACTTAAAAAGGCGCGAGATCTGGTCAGACACTGCCAGCACATATGGTGTACATTCGACAATCAAAATACGATACAAGATTGCAGTGTTTGCCGACATCGTGTCAGTGTAGTGTCGGAGGGCTGTCTCAAATCAGCAAAAGAGCCCGTCGCAGCAGTTGCTGGTGACTCTCCAAGCACCAGCCCTAGTCTCCACTCACAACACAGCCCTGTCACACCCAGTCTAACAACCTCGACATATGACCCAACAACCAGACAATTTGTTAGGGCTGCTGGGAGAACAAGGAACTGAAAGCTGTCACCAGTCAATAGCCAAAATTGAAAAGTGGGCTCAAGGCATCCTAGACAATAAAGAAAAATTACGATACGTTATGAACGCCTCTTTGCTCCAAACAGCACATACACTGTGCCTCAAGGCTGCAAGCACGGAGAAAACGTCCATGGCACCATAGATGACCTTGTACTATACAAAAAATATTATGTGTAAACAAACCTGTATCATTAATGAATAAATACTATAATCTGAATTTTACCACCAGCCCAACAAAGTTGGTTGTTGAACAAAAATATGGATTACTACTAGTATTACTACTCACCCAACTTTGATGCCCTTCGGTGAGTAGATACCCACATGGGTTGTCTTTATTCTGAGTAATTTTACATGAATTTCAGACTACTTTGGTTGATATGTAACTTTAAAGGGTTACGTACACGATACAAGGAATTTTCTAGGGGTTTGACTTTCTTTCAATTTTTAAAGAAAGGCAAATTGTAGTCTAATTAGAAAAATCATGACGCAATTTGTCGAGTTTTATGAAAAAGTTGGTTTTTATAGCGGCCATCTTGGATTTTTGGCTATGTTGTGGGGGAAATTGTTTTCCACAGAAAATATTTAAATACAAACCTCAAACTTTACACACATATTTACAAACAAATTATCTGTGATCATAGGCTTTGATTTTTTCCTTATCATTAAAAACAACAAAATATTGATATATCACTGGACCAGCACAGAAAAAAACGAGTATGATGAGAAAAGATGAGGAATATTTTAAAAAGTAATCCATATTTCACAAAATCCCCGCTTATGATCACATAACTTTTTATACAGCATCTGCGTGCCAAATTTCAAGCATGTAACTCTGATAATTTCAGAAAAACGATTTCCCCCGACACACACCAGAGTAGACACGTGCGTGTGCCAACAACACATGTGTTGGTATACATGGTATGGAAAAAGGCCGCTGGTTGGTCGCATGCAATCGGCTAAGTGAATAATGATTCACGATGCAGGTGCAATGAATGGTTTCTGGGAATAGATAAAGTTCGTTCTGGGACAAAAATGGGCGAGGCCACGTCTGCGGGGGCTGTTCACCCTGGGAGCGACCTCGTTGAATCCGAGCTCACTGATTTAAGTGCTCGTTGAATCCGGGTTATTTTTATTGATTTTAAAGAAGAAAAAAAACGGGGAAATCTATCTCATCTCGTTGAATCCAAGCTCGTTAAATCCAAGTTCGACTGTATTATTTTTGTGACTTTAGCAGGCACCCCCTATCTACCCCCCCCCCCTCCTTTTCTACCAGAGTAGATCTAGATCTAGTGGTGGTCGGGGAATGTTCAAAGAGGCCTAGAAAAACTAGATCTCTACATCTTGATCTATGCAGAGTTGCCTTTCCTGAAACAGTGTGGCAAATATGTAGCTTAATCTACCTCTGGTTGTCGGAAGTTCTGACAGCCGCATAGGCAGCGTGTTTGTGTCTGAAGTCATACAATTATTTTTATGAGTGTGGGAACGAACCCCGACCAGGAAGTTTTTTGTTGTTTTCTTTTGGGGTTTTTTCCCTCCTCTTCTTCTCCTTCTCCCTAATGACCAACAATTGTTCCCCATAATTATAATTTGTTGCTTTATTTTTTATGTAGTGATGAATCATGCACATTCTGGTTTTGTCCCCAAGAGGAGCTTTTACCAACAAAGTATAGTAACAACAGAATAGGCCTACTTTTCCTTTTACCAGTTTAGGCCTGGTTAAAGTTCAATAAGGATTTTCCTTGGTCTGTAAGTCGAATCATTTTTTTTATTTAACCCAGAGCCAGAGAGGCCAAATTTCAGCTCCTCAATTGCTAATTTTCGTCAGTTTCAGGGGCCCTCTCGTGCCCCCCAGACCCCTGCCAATTATTATTAATATTCGCCCTGGTTGGGGGTCCAGGGCCAAGCTGATTCCGAATATGAAATCAGTTTTGACGTATGGTAATTATTTTTAAAAATTTGAGTGCTGAGTTTAATTTTGCGCGGCGGCAAATTTCAAAATGAATCTTCCTCACAGCGCGTCTCCCTCAAATCTGAACATGATCGCATGGAAAATATCAAGCCACGCTTGATTTCTCGACAGAGTCTCCCAACCATCGTTCAATCGTCCAAATTTTGTACAATCTTGTGGTTACACTTACACCTAACGATCTACATTCTATCGTATGATCGCTAGATCGTCCAGTTTTTTTACAATTTATCGTTACGTGTAACCGGGCCTTTATCCAATCTATCGTCCAGTTTTCTTTCGATCGAGGAGATTCCTCATCTTAAAGCCACCATGTCTCTTTGCGATGACAGCGATTTGCCTGGAGATAAATATCTACTCTATACACTGGAACTCTGATTCAACGAGGTCGTTGGGCCTGACCTAAAATCTCGCTGAATCCG